TTCTGGCAACTCAGCTGGGATAAACCAATCTGTGTAGCCTAATTTGAAGAATTATTCCCAGATTGCTTCTTTCTCTTAATTAAAGAGAAGGGGGGTTACAACTTCTCACTTTCCGTGTCTTTTTGAATTGTGGATGAGTTGTAACTAAAGAACTGTAACGAGTTTCATTGTTCCAGATCCCCTCTCACAGTGAACAACAGTATTTGTGGCTCACCTCTTATGTTTAATACGAGTACAAAAACTAGTTATCGCACTTTCCGTCATATAAGGCGCACGAGTGTCGGCTACTTGCTGCTACAATGTTTCCTGGCAGTTGTAACGTAACATTAATAAACAACTGCTAAAGCGAAACCCAAAGCCCAAGGCTTTGGTTTACGTTTTAGCATCAAAGCCCAAGGATTTTTTTTTTTTTTTGGGGGGGGGGGGAAAGAGGGCGTCTTATTTGACGGAAAATACGGCATCTCACATTCAGCGTTAATGAAAACTCGCTTTTCTGTCACTTATTATTCTGCCACAGCCCCCTCACTCTTGTGTCAAAAGACATCCATCTGGAAATATTCTCCAATTTGGATACCCAGATTTATTTAGTGTAGTATCCTATTTGGTAATGGCTAATGGCTTTTGTTATATATACTTTTCAATTATATGTTGGAATTCTGGCAACACCTTCTTCCTCTAGTCCTTTCATTTTCATATAATTCTCTTTCATCATGGGGATCGAAGAAAGCATTAATAATATCCCGAGTCTTGCTCTCTACTACCCACCAAAATTGGCACCAGTTTCCCAAATGTTACAGGAGATTTGTCATCACGAAACACCAAGAGTTTAGGCAGAAACCTTGAAGCAAAGCGGCTTCTTCCCTTGATTTAATGTAAACAAACTTAATATGACATTGTCCATCATGTGTCCTCTCCTGTGAGTTAGCTCATATACCTTAGAAGGGCAGAAATTTAATAAACCGGAAAACAGAACACAAACGATCAGTTTGGTTCGTACGAGAAAGTCTTGTAATCTTTCAATACGTCATATCTTACAATGGTCATATCTTCTGGGGAAAATGCAAATTTATTATAATATATATATATATATATATATATATATATATATATATATATAATATATATATATTATATATATATATATATATATATATATATATATATATATATATATATATATTATATATATATATATATATATATTATTATATATATATATTATATATATATATATAATTATATATATATTATAATGGACAATGAAAGCAAAGGAAATCCTAGAAGCCATTAGCCTCAAACTAAAGTCGAAATATCTAGAATATTTTTTTGTTTGTTTTTGTTACCTTGTAGGTTGAATTCATATCTATCTATATTATATATATATATATATATATATATATATATATATATATATAATATATTATATATATATATATATATATATATATATATATATATAATATTATTATATTATATGTATGTATATATAAATACGTACATACATAGGAATAAACTACAGTAAAAAAAAATACTGAAATTACGTAAATATTTTCGGTCTAATTAGAAACCCAGTACTAGTGTAAACAAGTCAGGTGGACAGCAAAAGTAAACTGTGTAGTAGACCCACTCGCCCACGGTCAGTGACTCAACCTACATGAGTGTACACACTTTTATCACATCTGGGTTAATCTACCTAAATTAAGCAAATTCACGAAGGACAACCCGTGTATTTTAACACTTGGAAGGATTTAGATTTACTTCCTTAAAGATTTAAGGAATTATCGACATTCTCGATTATTTATAGCACTGAAATTGGGGAATATTTATGTTTATAACCGAGTCTATGTATTTATATTTTGAAATGCCACATATTATTATCCCCTGTTCAATGTCTATTACATACAGCTGAAGGAAACTTCATTTGTCTCCCCAGAATTTTTTTAAAATAAAGTTTTAATGGTATTCAAACTGCTGATGGCAATGTTTACATCATTGTGATAAATAATTTCATTTGCAGATTTAAGTTCATCTAAGGAAGAAAATATTATTTTCTGTTTTCATAAGTAATGTATTTGCTGTTCTTCCGGCATTTGTTAATGTACCTCAGTTCTTAGAGAGTTTTAATTGACTAAGAAAAAACTCGGACCCCCTACTGGTGTCCTTTTCAGCAGATTCAAGTATAAAAGGAGAACGTGAATATATCTTCCAAGTTTCTGTCTTCATGAGGGTATTACTAAGCAATGACGTGTTTTTTTTTACACTTTTATTGATTATTCATTGAGTCTCAACTTAAAAAAAAATATTGGATACATTAGCATATAGAAAGCTAACACATCTTTTTAGATATTTTTACGCAGTTTTCTGCAACGTTAGGTTTAAGGTTCTTCAGTTTATTTACAAGGTAAGAGCTGTTACCTACACCAGCTCATTATTCTTTTTTCACTGTCCCTAAACAATCTGAAATGTCATTTCGAATTTAATACATGACGAAGACACGATTCCCCATTCATGGAATATAAGGCTGACCAAATTTACAATATGTTTTCTAGGTTAGGTTGCAATAACAGTTTTCTAGATCTACTCATTTCTAGGCCAGAGGTGAGTTTTTTTTTTTTTTTGCTGGTTAAATAAAAGAAGAATTCTAAACTTTTAAATGTAATTATTCTTCAAACTCAAACGAACTCAACTCTGCGAACGAAATTCTCATAATGATGTATATACAGCCTTCAGCATTTCGAATAACGTTAAGAATTACAGGGATATACGTAGACAAATGCCGGCATTTACAACGACAACTGAAAACTATAATAATTCTGTATTTCAGAACATAAGTAAAGAGAATCAAAAAACAATTTCAGCGATTGTCAAGTATTGATGGGACACAGCAAGTTATAGAAGAACAGAGGAAGATTATGGAATCAGGGATAATTTTCAATGTTTCCAATTTCACTACCATTAACAAGCAAGTCAGGCTTTTTAAATTTGATAAATTATCTAGTTTCCTGCTAGGACTCTGCTAACACTCTGGGTTTGTTTGGTTGCCAAAAAAAAAAAAAAAACATAAAAGTGTATATCATTTTTTATCGTTTGATAGAAATCTTTAATAAATGTGATATATTTTCGCATGTCTTTTATTTTTGTAATTTTTTTTTCTTTTGACTATGTTATCGGCAAATTTATTTATTTACTGACGACCTTTTAAGAGTACTAGAAGATATGGGAAATAATTAGATCTTACTGATGAAACCAAAATTCAGCCATACTGAATTAAAAGAGATCATCCCGAGGTACACAAGAAGCCTAAAGACCCATTCTACAATTTTTTTTGAAAAGGTTAGGTTAAGTGTGTCAGGAAACAGGCCAAGTGTTTCCTGACGCGGGTGTTAGTCATATGATGACCCTCAGCTGGAGTTGATGGTCATGTGACCGAGACCTTTGTTTTTAAAAACTATAACAATGTGTTTTGTACATAATATCCATGTATACTCAATTTAGTTATCCCAATATCATGAGGACTTCTATGTAACACCTTTGCAGCAGACAGTTTCACAGTGTACTCCAAGAAGTGATACCCAATAAAACTTTCTTTTAAAGCTTTTGTTTTTAGCTCATCTTCATGAAACGTATACAAGTAGTCTATTAGACGCACACTTAGTCTTCAGTGGCACTTTCAGAGAATTTAGTAAATTATTAATGAAATGGCAGCTTTTTGATGTCCACAACGAATAGAACCTTTGAGGCCTCAGGAAGTGAATCTAACTAATGTTAGAATAATTTGGGAAACAAGAACAAGCGGATTACAACTCGTTTAACAATTGAAATGAAGAAGAATGAGTAGGCTGATAGGCAGTCACTGAGGCATAGGTCAGGAGGCTTAATACAATGGTTCTTTCTCGTGCTCATCTCACTTGTTTACATACCGTATGTAAGTACATCCTTACGACCTTCAGTACCGCCTGAAGAGGATCTCTGTTCGTGCCGAAAATATTCACGCTGTTTCACTACAAATAAATATTGGTTATTCGTATTTGTTATCCATACGGCCAGTGTATGGTTCACTCTCTCATATTCTCTCTCTCTCTCCTCTCTCTCTCTCTCTCTCTCTCTCTCTCTCTTTTCTCTCTCTCTCTCTCTGCTCTCTCCTCTCTTCTCTCTCTTCTCTTCTCTCTCTCTCTCTCTCTATCTCTCTTCTCTCTCTCTCTCCTAATTCTTTATCTATATTTATATATATATATATATATATATATATATATATATATATATATATATATATATATATATATATTATATATATATATATATATATATATTATATATATATATATACATATATGTATATATGTATGTATATATATATGTATGATATTATATATATATATATATATATATATATATATATATATATATATATATATATATATATATATATATATATATAAATTCATTTCAAGCAGTAAAATAATTACATTAGATAAAGCAATAAATAAGATAAATGTTGAACAGAAGTTAGGTACAATTCAATGGCTCAGTAACTGAGTTTGCTAAACAGCTAAGGAGCCCACTTATCCTGGTGTCAGAAAGCTAACAGTTATAACTAAAAGCTATAACAGTTATAACTTAAACAGAAATCGTAACAAACTTTTAATTAGATTCATAAGCAAAAATTGAGACCTGATTTGGTAGGCAAGCTTATATTAACACATACAGCAGTAAAAGACATTAGTTATACAATAGTTCACCCAAGACCTAGGGAAGGGGGGTAAGCAAGGTGAGTATCTTCACATGTTCTGTCTCTTTCTCTCTCTGCCTCTGTTTCTCTCTTACTTTCACACAATTTTTCTTGATTCATATGTATAGGAGTTCTAGCAAGCACGCTTTATGAAGTATTTACCATGTCAGGTTTTAACAGTCAATCCACCTCGTACACACACACACACACACCACACACACACACACACACACACACACACACACACACATGCCAAAAGGGTCCTGCGTACCTCGTTGTCCCTGTCCGCGTCCTTAATGTGTTGAGCGATGAACTGGACGCCTTCAATGGCTTTCTGGATCTCCGGCGAGTAAGTTCTCTGGTTGTGAAGATGGCAACCACCAAGGTCTGGGGAGAGAGAGGGGAAGATAGAGTTGCGCGTAAGAGAGAGAAAGAGAGAGAGAAAGAGAGAGACGGGGGAGGGAGGGAGGCAGTGAGTCTGACGAAAAAGTTAAGTAAACTTTATTATAAGTTACGATGAAACACGATTATGCATATCCAACTTTGCACAGTTGGAAGCAGCAACGAAATTAGTATTTCACCGTGAGCCTCACGGCCAGAATTGAACAATTTATTAAGCCCCCAGCGTCCTACACACTCAAAAAAGCATGAGGATCACAAAGTGTTGTCCTCATGATGGTAAAGAGATACTACCAATTTCGCAATTTTACTCAATGAAGACAACTGACTAGAAGTACTGAAGAAGGAAGTCGTACGAACCCCTTGTAATTTTTGAAGCCTTTCTTCCAGCGAGACAGTCATATTCCATCAATTCCTATATACACAAATCTGAGAAAAAAGCTTCAGTTTCAACCAGCTTATCAGGAGACTTCAAAGCCCACCACTAGCTATGTATAATTACTGAAATCAGTTGTGACAGAAATAGAGCGCAGAAAGGTCTTGTGACTTAGTGCTGACCAACAGAGACCGCGAAGCATTGAACTGCTGAATCTCAGAAGATAATAATTATGTGGGTTACAAAAATATCTAGGTAATAAATTCATTTTCGATACTGTGTCTAACATCAGGAAACAAGGGCAAGTAGCAATGATAAGAACGAAGGATATATATTAAATTTTTAGTACAATATGTGGCGTAATGGACTTATATTTAAACTCTTTTGTCACAAGTGGACTTTTAAATATTGATTAGAAGCTTTCTAACAGAGAAATTGTCCCTTACTTTACTGTTAAAATTACTGAGGCATTCACTTCGACTGCACCATTCCTTAAGGATCCCAATTAAGGATGTTACTCTTTACAAATGTATTTACAAACCACATCGCTACAAATCTACAACGACATAGTCATCACCAAGAAATCTAAGGATGCTCCCTAAGGACAAATAAGGAAGAAAAAAACGAATTGCAATCAGAGGACAACAAAAGCAATCCTAAGAACAATTATGGAAGAAAAAAGAATTAGAGGAAAAAAATTTCTTTCCCATTTCTCATCCAATTTGTTCTTTAGACCGTTGACGATCATGTCAAGATATTGCATCTTCCCTCCTGTACTTCCCTCCGCCCCTCGTGGTTCCTGCTCCTAATATTTACCGCTGTCTAGCTAATAGGCTATGTTAGTTGTGTATATGTTCGCCTGTATGTGGCTCCTGGCCCCGCCTTTCAATCTGCCGTTTGCCAGGTTCACTCCCTCACAAACTCGTGGGCCCTATCGTGTGTGTGTGTGAGTAGAGTGCTGATTTTTATATTTCTAAGCTCAGGTGTATTAATTTAAAAGTATCAGTAGTTTTTCACCGATACTGTTAAAAATCGCCGATACCGATATTTTGGCACATCCCTAGTGTGTAGTCGGAATCATGAAACTGTTTACTACCATCAAATAGCCTTCAAGACATTTTCATTTGATAATTTTGATGTGAGAAAGTATTATATCACAGAGGAAGATTCACAAAATCATGTCACTTACATGGCACATTTTCTGGCACTCGGATGTTTTTTCCTCCAAAAATCTTCCCACAGAGGCTCTGGATTTAATTTGAATGTCATTTTGCAGTCAAAATTTCATTATCGGTTACAGATATGTCCATATCAGTCAACGAGGCCGTTTTTAATGCAATATCGTTAATGTCGTTTTTACACCAAATGGAAACACAGAGCGTAAACGTAGGGATAAGTTTCAGTGTTGCCAAATCTTGTAACCATTTATCTGGTTTGTAATAATAATTTGTAATGGTTCAACATATCGAACATTGATTGAGAGCTACGATAGCGAGATAAGATGAAAGTTATACTGGAGACTGGCAAAACCTGAGGAGGTAATTTTAAGGCGTTTAATTCCTAAGCCTATCTAGAAAGCCCCATCCAGAAGTTAGATCTTATCTTCCATCTCTTCGTAATCTGTATCATTATTTGGGCATCCTGCTATCTACCAAAACTGCTTTGGGATCTATTGGCAAATCGTAGTCGACTTTTTGGCAGCCGCTCCTTCATTCCCAATTAACAATCCTGTGTCAGGTTAGGTAAGATTTGTCTGGAAATAGGACAAGTGTTTCCTGACGCTGGTCTTATGATGACGCGCAGCTGGAGCGTTTGGTCACCTGACCGAAGCCTTCTGCTGGCTTACCAGTTCACCCACTCGACTGCTGGTAACTGACGCCTAACCAGGCGTCAGTTACCAGCAGTCGACAAGACAGGCTATCTAAAAGTCTGAGTGGATCTATAACCTACTATGATAACATGAACGTAGATAAGTAAGTTTATGGAGCAACGTGCAATGTGACCAGGCTGACTGAATTTGTAGTGGCCAGGCTTAGGCTTGGTTACAAGTACTTCTGGCAGTTTGGCTGACACACGTATGATGATCGCTGACACACGTATGATGATCAAACCAAATGAAATACATGTGACCAGCCCTGTGGTCACTATCTTGAACACTATGTGCTTAATTATCCACTTACTGAGGAATATAGAGATAGACATGTCATGGCCATGTGACATGTCAAGATGTCTGTTAATGAAAAGAAGATACAAGATATATTAAGCAAATTTCCTAGATTTGCTTGTAACAGGTAAGTGAAATGTAAATATGAATGCAGATGTACTCCTGTTAACCATTTTGGGGTCTAGTTCCTAGGTCTTTTGAGTATCCATATATGCTCTTGCGCTACCGTCCACAGAATGAATATAGAGTGTACAATAAACTAGCCACTTCGGTGCTAAAATCTAAAAGCAAAATAAAAAACAGCAGAAAAGTGACAACAGTAAGAAGGCTGTCACTATCAACAATGTAATCCCGTTACTTACTATAACACGAATTCCCCCAAAACAATGAACGCTTTAAAAGCACTCACTAATCAACAATCATCCTGAGCCCAAAATCTAGTGGGATGGGCCACTTAATTCTCATCCCCTGTCTCTTCCTCTATACATATATCCAATCTACCTAATCCTATTTCACTCATTCCAACGCTATGGTAAACAATGTCCAGCATATATGGCCTGTTGTTGTTACTACTTCTATTATTATTACTCATTTTACTGTTATCAGTTGTCACTGTTACCCTTCAGTGATGATGCCAGTGTTCATATCACTGTTGTTGTTAGTCATGTTATCACTGCAGTTTCTCTTCATGATGAGTGAATAGACTTTACCAAAAAACAATAGCAGCAGCAATGATCTGTGTGTAGCAGCGATCGGCTTGTGTGATACTGGTGAAGCACTGCTAGTCTTGTGTGATACTGGTGAAGCACTGCTAGTCTTGTGTGATACTGGTGAAGCACTGCTAGTCTTGTGTGATACTGGTGAAGAACTGCTAGGCTTGTGTGATACTGGTGAAGAACTGCTAGTCTTGTGTGATACTGGTGAAGAACTGCTATTCTTGTGTGATACTGGTGAAGCACTGCTAGCCTTGTGTGATACTGGTGAAGCACTGCTAGTCTTGTGTGATATGGTTGAAGCACTGCTAGTCTTGTGTGATACTGGTGAAGAACTGCTAGGCTTGTGTGATACTGGTGAAGCACTGCTAGTCTTGTGTGATACTGGTGAAGAACTGCTATTCTTGTGTGATACTGGTGAAGCACTGCTAGCCTTGTGTGATACTGGTGAAGCACTGCTAGTCTTGTGTGATACTGGTGAAGCACTGCTAGTCTTGTGTGATACTGGTGAAGTACTGCTAGTCTTGTGTGATACTGGTGAAGAACTGCTAGGCTTATGTGATACTGAAGCACTGCTAGGCTTGTGTGATACTGGTGAAGCACTGCTAGTCTTGTGTGATACTGGTGAAGCACTGCTAGTCTTGTGTGATACTGGTGAAGCACTGCTAGTCTTGTGTGATACTGGTGAAGCACTGCTAGTATTGTGTGATACTGGTGAAGCACTGCTAGTCTTGTGTGATACTGGTGAAGCACTGCTAGTCTTGTGTGATACTGGTGAAGAACTGCTAGGCTTGTGTGATACTGGTGAAGAACTGCTAGGCTTATGTGATGCTGAAGCACTGCTAGGCTTGTGTGATACTGGTGAAGCACTGCTAGTCTTGTGTGATACTGGTGAAGCACTGCTAGTCTTGTGTGATACTGGTGAAGAACTGCTAGGCTTGTGTGATACTGGTGAAGCACTGCTAGTCTTGTGTGATACTGGTGAAGAACTGCTATTCTTGTGTGATACTGGTGAAGCACTGCTAGCCTTGTGTGATACTGGTGAAGCACTGCTAGTCTTGTGTGATACTGGTGAAGAACTGCTAGGCTTATGTGATACTGGTGAAGCACTGCTAGTCTTGTGTGATACTGGTGAAGCACTGCTAGCCTTGTGTGATACTGGTGAAGAACTGCTAGTCTTGTGAGATACTGGTGAAGAACTGCTAGGCTTATGTGATGCTGAAGCACTGCTAGGCTTGTGTGATACTGGTGAAGCACTGCTAGGCTTGTGTGATACTGGTGAAGCACTGCTAGGCTTGTGTGATACTGGTGAAGCACTGATAGGCTTGTGTGATACTGGTGATGCATTACTAGGCTTGTGTGCTACTGGTGAAGCATTGCTAGGCTTGTGTGAACTGGTGAAGCATTGCTAGGCTTGTGTAATACTGGTGAAGCACTGCTAGTCTTGTGTGATACTGACGAAACACGGCTAGTCTTGTGTGATACTGGTGAAGCACTGCTAGGCTTGTATGTTACTGGTGAAGCACTGTTCGGCTTGTTTGTTACTGGTGAAGCACTGCTAGGCTTGTGTGATTCTGGTGAAGCACTACTCGGCTAGTGTGATACTGGTGAAGCAGTCCTAGGCTTGTGTGATACTGGTGAAGCACTACTCGGCTTGTGTGATACTGGTGAAGCACTGCTAGGCTTGTGTGAGACTGGTGATGCTGTGCTTGGTTTTGTGTGTTACTGGTGAAGC